TTTGATTCTGAGATTATCTGAAACAATTCTAAAGCATAGAGCTGTGTACAACAGAGATTACAAGAAAACTTTCAATGTGAAGGAGGGGAGAAACATGTAACTGCCATCATTCCAGGGTCAAGTTCTCATCCCTGTCTTATAGGTCTGGAAGGAATTCTCATGTGCTTCAAGCCAGATCTCAGATGAACTTGGAACCTGTTATGAACTGAATGTTTGTGTGTCCCTCCAAATGGAAGCCTTACCCCCCGAGTGTGATGATATTTGCACCTGGGGCCTTTGGGAAGTAATTAAGGGTAAATGAGGTTGCGAAGTGACTATTGCCCATGTTGGGATTACTGTCCTTATAAGAAAAGGAAGGGATGGGGCCAGGCCTGTGGTGTAGTGGGTAAGTTAGGCATGTTCTGCTTTGGTGGCCCAGGTCTCAGGTTCAGATCCTGTGCATGGACCTACACCGCTTGTCAGCCATGCTGTGGCGGCAACCCACATATAAAGTAGAGGAAGACTGGCACAAATGTTAGTTCAGAGATAATCTTCCTCAAGCAAAAAAAAAAAATTAGGAAGATTGGCAACAGATGTTAGCTCAGGACTGATCTTTCTCAGCAAAACAAAACAAAGAAAGACGAGCAAGAGAGACCACAGTACTCTCTCTCTCTGCCATGTGAGGACACAGCCAGGAAGAGGACTGTCACTAGGAGCCCAATCAGTAGGCACCTTGATCTTGGACTTCTCAACTTCCAGAACTGTGAGAAATAAATGTTCATTGTTTAAGCCGCCCAGTCTACAGTCTTTCATTATGGCAGCCTGAGCTGACTAAGACTGGGTCTAAATTGGTTGAGTATTTACTGGACAAAGTAAAGAAACAAGCGCACAAACAACATACCAAACCAGACTCAATCTGACCCAACAAATTCCAGGCCACCAGGTCCCTTCAGAGCTGAGAGCAATTGTGGCTCCACGCCTGGGGCACACTGTTTCTCAGTTATAGGACAAACCATTGACCTTGGTTATTTAATAAGCAAGAAAGCAGAGGAACAGTTGACTTCAAGAAGCTCTGGAGACAAGTCAAATTGCTTCTCAGTGGACTATTTTTCTAGTGAGAAATATTTTTATTCTAAGTATGACTTTGGGCCTGCTCTGTGACTGGAGACCTGTTGTCAGGGGAGACATCTGTGTGTTGCTAATAGATGATCAGGAGCCGAGGACCAAAAATTTAAGAAGCTGTTTTCATGAGACGCTTAGTGAGACTCTGGGCATAACACATGCCTCTGTGGAGCCTAGTTGACTAAGGATATGCATGTACATGTGTATGCGTGTGTGTGTTTGTACATGCGCTTGTGGTCCATGAGGCGTTAGAGTGATGGGACCAAGCACATTTTAGTATTGCAGAATGGCTTTGGGAGCAAGCCTTCTCACAGGAGCAGCCAGAAAAGTGACACAATGTCCTGGTCCAGAGGTCAAATCAAAGATATGAAATTGACCTTGTTTCTGTTGCAAGTGAGATATCATCCTTCTCAAAAGTAAGACAGCACACTGCAATGGAGAAAGAAGTGTGTGCTTCCATTTTAATTTGGATGTATATGTAAATGAGACTTCAATGAAGCTGTGAAGCCTAGGATGTGCAGGTTGCATATGTTTTTATAGAGTAAAGATGGAAATAGAGATGGAAATGGGGATAAAGATGGGGATGGGGAGATTGAGATAGAGCCAGAAGGGAGTTGGGTGGAGGTGGAGGTTTAATGGAGGAGGAGATGAGATGGGAGAGAGAGAGATGGTTCAGGGATGGGAGAGAGATTAGAAGGGAGAATGAGAACGAGATAAAGCTGGACATGGAAACTCAAATGGGGGTAACCTTGGGAAAAGGATGGGGAAAAGAGAGAGAGATGAGTAGGGAATTATGAGATCAGCTGCTGAGACAGATGCAGACCGGAAGACAGACCTATAGCTATCCTAAAACACTCAACTTCCAAGCCACAGTAATGGGGTCAGATTTGATTTTCAGGATCTTTTCCAAATATTAATGTCAAAAAAGGAAAATGTTCCCCAGTGAATATGTGGTTTTTTTGTCTATGTTTGGCAAGATACTACAATATAAGTACAAATAAGTTCAGGATAACAAGTAGAGGTATCATTGTTCTGCTTCAGTTTTCAATTTTCAAGATGACCCAAGAAAGAAAAAAAATCACAAGCACAGAGGAGAAAAAAAGGACAAAAAAATATCTATCACATTAAGGTTATAACGGAGCAGTTGGGAAGGTAATGATTTTCTGGGTCTTTCAAAAGGATAACATTGATGCAAAAATGTGTAAAGCAAGGAAAACACATGGACTTTAGATTCATGTCTGGATTAAATCTCAGCAGTACCAGTTACCAGGGGTGTAAAGATTAAAGCTATCAAATAATCGATGCGAAGCACTTTGCACAGTGCCAGAAATGAATCATTATATTTTTTCCCCAGTGATGTCTTTACTATTCAAAGTGAGAAAAGATAAAGACTCTTTGCTGTTGTTGTTTTATTAAGCACCTCTCCATGGTACTCAGCACTGTGCTTAGAGCTATTAGGATTTATAAGGAAATTCCAAGAATCAGCATATGCCTTAAAGACTTTACAATGATGTGGAGAAGGTGAGATATGAAGCAGTACAAAATAACTTAAGATATGCTAAACTTCTCCATCTATGCTGCAGGTTCTGGAGAGGTGCTGAGATTTCGGATTCTGCCACAGGAAAACCAGAGAAGGTAGGGGGACAGTGCTGGAAGATGGGTGCAGGGAAACTGCTAACATTCTCAGGACATTTGCTAGGGGGCAGGTCACTGTTTCACATGTGGTCAGAAATGACTTCATGAACGAGAGAGGCTTGCAATACACATTAAAGGTAAGACTTAGATATTAGACAGGAAATTGCCGGGGTGAAGTCACAAAACAGGACTGGAAAAGAGACCAGAAAAGGATGCATATTGGTATAGCCTATTCTAATAACCATTTATCGTACAAATACGTAAAGTAACTTGAACAATAATAAAGCAGATTTGAAAACAAACATGGCATATACTCCCTCTGCAAAGACCCTTTGTATACAGGCATACATTCAGATTTCCCTTCTTTTTAAGTATTCAGTACATAGATAAGTGTATCCGAAGAATTCTATTTTTAAAACTTTCACAAAAATATTCAACTCCTGTTTAAAAAATAAATATGAAAAAAATTAATTATAAATTATTTTTGCCAATTAAATTGGAACACTGTTACCTTTAAAGAGTGCTAATAGTGTAAGGAAATGGGCATTGTCATAAGCTCTTGGTATATATTAAAATCATAAATGTGTATGACTGTTGACTATCCACCCACTTCTAGAAATTTATCCTGAGAAGAAAAATCACATAAGCATACAAAGATATAGGCCCATGGACTTTCAATGTAGTATTTTATTTAATATTAAACAATTGGAAACCACCTAAATGACTGTCAATAGGCTAGTGGCTAATTTATGATTTATAATTTATGAATAATTTTATTATATCATATTTATAATAAAATATTATTCAACCGTTAAAATGATTATGTAGCTCTGTATCCATTGACATGGCAAGATGTGCTGAGTGAAACAGAGGCATACAGAATAGTACCCTATAAAACCATTTTTGTGAAATTGTGTGTGTCTGTGTGTAGAAGAACGATGGTCAATATGTTAATGATGGTTACATCAGACTGAGAGATTTAAAGTAATTTTTACTTTTTTTACAGTTTGTAAGAAGTTTATTATTAATATTATCTACAGTTAGCATGTAATCTTTTTATAATATGAAAAAACTATAATTATTTTCATTTTAGAAAAAGACAACCTTCCCCAGTTGATGACAATTCTGTGGTATAAGTAGTGGCCAGCTGGCACCAGCCAAGACCTGAGAAAATGGGCCCCCAGAGGCATTTACTGCCTTCACAGGGCAGATTCTGGGTGTAATCGCTGGGCCAGAGAATTCCCTTCTCAGCAAGTGGCTTTCAGAAAGAGGAGATGATAGGAGAGAGAATCCCAGTGTATCCTGTCTCTAGACACGTTGTTCTAGTCTTCTGTCTTTGCTGGACTGTGAGTTTCTCAAGCCCTGGGAAAGTGTCTTGCTAACTTTTCCCCCGTCTCTAAAGCCTACCATAGACACACAGTAAGCAGTTAATTTGTACGATGAGACTGAAATAAATCGCCATGCTTTGTTTGCTTCTGAACTATAAAAGACACTTTGGGGACGTCCCTGATCAGAAACTGCTCACAGGGTTAAGCCTTGCACATGACAGGCACCGCTCTCAGTAAAGGATCCTCTAACTGGTTTCAGAGAACTGTCCTATTGTCTATATTTAGTTTTACAAATGCAATGTCTTTTAGTTCACATATTTTTCTCACCAGCATTATAAGGATTAACTTTATTGTAATGTAGCTGTATGGGAATTTGTTTTATATTAGTATTTATGTTCAAAGTCATTTCAATGTACAATTACATAGTCAACTGATACAACCTAATATCAATGTGGGTAATTTCAGAATGATTAGTCTTCTTAGTGTCCTGCCACCATGGTTATTTTTCTATCAAAGCACCTAAGAGAAGAGCCCAGACACTGTCACGATCTCAGATAGAATTCTTTGCTCAGGGCAGACCAAGCCTTGCTTCTTTGTGTTCCAAATAGAAACTAACACAAAAATAAAAATCCAGCGTGAATTCTCTCTTTCATCTAACACATACATTAGAACAGAAGAAATAATAAGATGAAGTATTTCATCAAGATTCATGGAACTGACATGGAGTAACTGTTGTTGAATCTAGGTATCCATTCATTCTTTCCCAGAGGTGGTGTTAGCAAATGCCCCACATAGGTGACAGTTAAACTGATAGATTGCCAATACCATTGATTAGCCAGAGTGACAATAGTGACAGTAGCATTCCTTCATACCATGCATTTAATGATTTGTTGGCTCAAAGTACGTAAACATAGAACTCGAGGTGATTTCCTTTACCTTGGCCAGGTGAGAGTTGATCCATTTTGTGAAAGTCCGTTTTTGTACTATCTCTTGCTCATCTAGAAGAAAAAAAATCTAATAAGAAAACATAGTATGTCTTGAAGTTGTATCATGAAAAAATTCATACTTACACAACTCTAGAATAATCATAATATTATTATATCTTCTAGTTCCTTTTGCCAATTATTGTCTTGAAGGAAGAGTCAGTACAGCTCCAAATTAGACCATTCCTTTAAAAGTTACCAGCGAATGCTTTAAAATTTGCAATATGTTAGGCCTATGTTGACCTTCATTCACTTATTGAAAGTTGACTGAACAATTATACCTCAATAAAGCCGTTTTTAAAAAGTTTACTGAGACTGGCTAAGTGCCAAGCTTTACGTTAGATTCAAGGGGATCCAGAGAGATGAACAGGGCAAGGTCTCCGCCATGAAATATCTAAAGGTGGAGACAGACAAGCAGGGGCATATTTGTGGTAGAGGGTCATCAGTTGTGCAGTAAGATAGAGTTGCATATTGAGGCACCACAGGGACTTTACCCACATGGGGAGTGTGATGAACACACTGTGGGTGACCTTCAAGGGTCCCACCTCCTGGAGTCCACACCACTGTGCAGATAGACCGCAAACAGAACCTGTGACTTGCCTCTAATCAACAGAATATGGCAAAGGCGATGGGATGCCACACTATGAACATGTTACTTTATGTACAATTCCATCTTCGCTGACTGGAGTGAGAGATTGTCCTGCTCACTTTGAAGAAGTAAAAGGCCGTGTTGTGAACTGCGCATGGAGAGGGCCATGTGGCAGGGAACTATGGGTTGCCTTTAGGAGCAGAGGGCTGCCTCCAGCCAAGAGCCAGTGGGTCTCTTGTCATATAACCACAGGGAACAAATTCTGCTAACAACCTGAATGAGTTCGAAAGTGGATTCCTCCTTAGTTCAGCCTCTGGATAAGAATGCAGCCCGGCTGACATCTTGACTTGTCAGGCCCTGAGCAGAGGACACAGCTAAGCTGTGCATGGACTCCTGACCCACAAAAGTTTGGAGGTAATAAATGAACATTGTTATAAATGGCTATATTTGTGGTAATTTGTTATGCAACAAAAGAAAAAGAATATAGGAAGAAAGAAAGGTAGAGTCCAGGAAGGCTTTACTTAGAGGTATAAAGAGATGAAAGGCAGAGAGAGAGAGACCAGTTTAACACCTTTCAAAGAAAGGGTGAATTCTATTCATTTCAGCAGCACCTGTCAAGTGTCAACTGTTTGTTGTAGCCTTGATGTTGTAAGGAACACCGATGAACAAGCTATAATTCATTTCTTTACCCTTGGAGGGGTGATGCTCCAATTCTCATCTCTAGAGCTGACCTGTCTTGGGTTTCAGCTCAGAATGCTTCACTGCCTAGAAGATAAATCCTATGAGGACAGTAACTTTGTTCCCAATGCCTACAAATGTGACAGATAAATACTGTAGAATGAAGGAATGAAGACAGTCAACAACAAAACCTGTCAATTTGGAGAAATTTTGGATATATCCATAAAATTTGCAGAATGTCACTAATTCTAATGTACTTTAAGCTTGTGCTTTTAACTTTCAAGTACATACCAGAAGCAAACCACTGCCATAATAGGCAACACTTCCTATGTACCAGGCGCTGATCTCTCTCTCTCTCTCTCTAAAACACATTACATTCTAATTATTTAACTATTTTGATTAACTAATTATATATCATATGTAATATACGTGTGTTAAATCATTTAATTCTTGTACAAATCTATAAGCAGGAACTACTATAATGCCCATTTTACAGATAAGAAAACCAAAGCATAGAAATTAAGCATTTTTATCAAAGTCACCCAGTGGCAGAGTCAAGTTTTAGACCACAAGTCTGGTTCCTACACCACAATACAGCTGTCCAAAGATGGTATAGAAATGACTATATTAGTCAAATCAACAGTAATCACATCAAAATGATAAATTCATAGTTAAATAAATTTGAGTTTGACCTTAAAATCTTTAGGTTCTGTAACTAAAGTCACGTAGCAGCAGAAGGATCTTGACTAATCAAGCTAGTTTTGATGGAATCCAGAACTTTATCTATAATACAGAAAATCCAATTCTAAGTCTAAAATAGACTATAGATACAGTTAGAGTGTGTATAAAATTTTAAACTCAATTTGAGATTATGTACTATTTTATAAATATCACAAGATGCCAATGTTTTAAAGTCTTAAAAATATTAGGATAATGTTAGTGTATAGAGTCATAAATTTAGGTATATAATCTACCGATAATATATTGCTTCCTGATTTTAAATTTTTATATTTTTACTACTACCACCTTTAATGAAAGAATACTGCTATTGAGGGGCTGGCCCCGTGGCCGAGTGGTTAAGTTCACGCGCTCCGCTGCAGGCGGCCCAGTGTTTCGTTGGTTCGAATCCTGGGCGCGGACATGGCACTGCTCATCAAACCACGCTGAGGCAGCGTCCCATATGCCACAACTAGAAGGACCCACAACGAAGAATATACAACTATGTACTGGGGGGCTTTGGGGAGAAAAAGGAAAAAATAAAAAAAATCTTTAAAAAAAAAAGAATACTGCTATTGTAATGGTTTCTTCTGATGGCAAATCTCTGAGTTTATTTTTATATTTTAGCTAAAAGTTCTTTTTTTTAGAAAGGTCCAATTTTATTTTTTGTAGCATTCATTGTATATATTGAAATGTCAAATTCTCTACATGTTTCTTTTTATATCATGGCTGCAAAAGCAGATTTCCTGGGTCCCAACAATCTGCTTTTTATGTCACCAGACACAGTTTGCTGAATTCCAAGTAAATATTTTCTGATTTCACTTAGTATTTTCTCAAAGGAAAAAAATTTCTAAAACTTCATCATTCAACAAATCCTCATTTTTGACACAAAAATCTGAATAATTTAGTTCAGGATTTGGTAATTAAATCTGATACCAACATCATAAAATGTTTAAATTATGGAAGTAATATGAAACATGCAATGAATGTCTACCCATTGCATTAAAAAATATTATGAACAATAACACTTCTTTATAATGTTATTGGTGGCGAACTGAGATAACTAACCCCCAGGATATAGATTTATAAAGTTCCCCTTGTGTATATGTAGCTATATTTAAGAGACTATCATTTAAATATATGTAATAACCTTATTAGTGATTTTTCTATCTTCTGCTTTTCAGAACAACATGATGTAATCTTAACAAGTGTTCATATATATGCATGCTTAATATTTCTACTAAAATTGTAAAAACAGTAACTCATTTAGACATTCTGCTGAACCAGTATGTTAGTTCCAAACACAGAAAAGTTTGTCTACATCTCACAAGTAAACCCAGTCCTCTAGTTCTAAGAATCACAGAGAACAAGAAGTTGGTCCTGTTTTTAAGTTTTATTCCCGAATTTCTATTAACGTAACCTAAGATGCACCTAGTTCTTAAGACAGTAACCTGGAGGTCGTCCCTGGTTATTTACTCTTCCTCATCCCTCACACCAACTCCACATTGGTGTCTGTTTTACTTCCTGAATATTTCATCTCCACCAACATCAGTCTAGTTAAAACATCACCATCTTCTGGATGCCTGTTCATTCCCAGTACCAGAATCTAAGTTCTAGATTAGTCGGCAGGAACCACGTCTGACTTATCCATCACCGTTGTATTCATCACTACATAGTAGGTACTTAATAAGGAAATGAATGGACAAATTTGCTAAGGAAGTACTGGAGACTGAGAAACAGGCCCTGCTCTAAGGAACTGGTAATACAATGGGACAGACAGGTATGTAAGCAACAGTGCAAAGCAGGGTGCCAGCTACGGCAATGGAGGAACATATGAACAGAGGAGCAAGCAATTCTCCCGTAGGCTGAGGAGACAGGCTGGAAGGCTCAAAGAAGCTAAAAAAGCAGGTGCCATTAAGTAGAACATCAGCAGAGAAGTGAATTTGTAGGTAGAGAACTTTGTAGGAAAAAAGAGGCAGTCTTTTAAAATCATGGCATAACATATTAAAGTGACAATGAAAATCTGTTATGGCTAGATTACAGGGTGGAGAGGGGTTAAGGACTGGAGGTAAGCCTGGAAAATAGGTAACATGTTTGTTATTCCTGTGAATAACATGCCAAGGAGTTTGCTCTCTATCTTATGTACAATGGGGAGCCACCGATGGTTTTGAACGGGACAAAGACAACATATCCGACCTGAGACACAGAAATATATGCTCTGATGGAAGCATGGAGGTTTCATTGAAGGGAGAAGAGAGAGCAGGGAGGACATTTGGGAACAAACTACCAGAACGCATGTTAAGGGTGATGAATTCTGTTCTAGGGCAATGCCAGGGATGAGATGCACAGGACGGCTGCAAAGGAACTATCAGAAGTAGAATGGAAAGGAAGTAGATGGGGCTGGCCCCATGGCCTAGTGCTTAAGTTCAGTGAACTCTGCTTTGGCAGCCTGGCTTGGGTTCCCAGGTGCAGACCTATACCACTGTTTGGTTGCCATGCTATGGCAGTGACCCACATACAAGATAGAGGAAGATTGGCAATAGATGGTAGCTCATGGCAAATCTTCCTCAGCACAGAAAAAAAAAAAACTAACAAAAGGAAGTAGAGAGACAGGAGCTAAGGATGCTTTCTAGATTCCTATCTTGGGCATCTGGATAATGATGCCACTAACCAAGAAAGGAAAAACAGAAGAAGTAGCAGGCTGGAGAGGGAAGATTATGAGAATTGAGGCCCACTGTAAATGTTTTATAAACGTCTGAGAGATTGCAGCGTCAGCACAGAGGAGAGGTGGGACTTAAGCCAGATTATGAGGTGGGTGCTCCACAGAGAGGGATGTGTAATAGGCTCTGGCTTAAGGCTAGGTTTTGGTCAAGGTGCTCAGAGGCAGCTCAACCCCACTCCTCTCCTATAACTTGAATCTTGATTCCCTTCTAAAGGCCAGATTGTGTGGAGGAAGATAATAGTTATGAAAACTCTCTGGGTCCTTCTCTCTCGAGGCTTCCATCACTGGTTCCATTTCAAAAGCAGCTGG